TATCTGCTATCCCTGTTCCTGGGATGAAATCACGATGGTGTATACACAACTTTAGATTGAATTCCTCTTCCAAACGCTTAACAAGGTCGATGACGAATATTCTGTCTTTCTCAGCATAAGATACAAATGCATCGAAGTGAAACAAATCTGTTGTTTCTTGTCTCTTTTCATTATCTTTGTACTTTTCCCTTGCGACGTAATACATATATCTCAATTTCCACCTGTATCTATAAATAATACGACTGATGGTGATTGTTAGGATAACAAACATCAGTGACGTCATAATCACGATGATTAGACTATATGAGGAACACTGCTTTTCCAAGAGTTCGAGTAATCGAGAATCTGAAAATCGAATCTTAGTGAAATTCGATAAAGTGCACAAATAATCATCAAAATGAAGAAAAACAATATTCTTTGAAGTGTGAATCCATTTCACGAATTCTACATTCCCACAATCGCATCTCAATTTGTTGCCCTTTAAATTTAAATAGATGTACTTTTCTTGTGATATTACGTGCAACATTTTTCTAGTTTCCATATTTATTGTCGATATCTGGTTATCAGAGAGGTCTATATGTGACAAATGAACCATATGACTTATGGGCATTGTAAAATCACCAAGAGAATTATAGCTCAGGTTTAATTGTTTAAGGTGGACTAGATTTTGAAATATTTTTGCCGGAAGTCGAAGAATCCTGTTTCGAGTTAAGTTCAAGGAAGTCAGCAACCTCAAATTTTGAAATATTTTTCCATCGACGTCATTTTCAAGATTTTCACCGAGTGCATTATAGGAAAGATCAAGATGGGACAAGTTTCTAAAATCTTCAAAAAATCTTGGTGAGATATAGCTGCAAAAATTATTCGAGAAGTCCGCATAAATGACACTTCTCATGCCTATAATGGGCCCATTCATTTCATAGATAATATTGTTTTGCAAATAAAGCTTTGACAAGGTAGGTTTACCAAAAAATTTGAATGAAAAATCTTGAAGAGTCATTTTATACATGTTGTCGTGAAAATACACTGTTTGGAGTGTAGAAGGCAAGAAGAATGTTATATTTTTCGGTCTCTGTAAAGGCATTTTCCTTCTTTGGCCCAAAACCTGGTTTTTTGATGAGCTTACAGACACCTTTCGAATATCATTGCAGTCCATGAGAATGTCGTCTACATTGAGTTGATGAAAAGAGGACTGGAAACTTGCATTGATGGACATGATATTTGGCAAATCACCGAATTCTACTAAATAAATCCCAAAACTGAGTCTATTATTGGCCAGACTAAGATGCTTTAGGGACTTGGGTAGCTCAGACAAAACACCCGCTTCTAGACTGTTGATGCGATTTGATGCCAAATTCAGTTCCTCCAAAAGTGTATGTTTAAGTCCAATCAGGTGGTATCTTTTAACAATGAAACTTACGCCGTATGTACATTGTAGATTCTCAAAATTTAAAACGCGAATAGCAGAAGAATTTCTCAAATCACTCGATATATTAGCCAAAACCTCCAGAGTGAGCTCCTGATTTCCGGAAATATCAAGGTGCTGGAGATATAAAGAGTTTTGAAAAGAACCCAGCTCGATCATCTGTAGTGAATTATGTGAAATAGATAAATTGCGCAGATATCTGTATTTTTCCATTGATTGTTGATTCACGATTCTCATCAAATTTCCTGAGACGTCCAAATAAGTGACATTTAGAGGTAGATTTGTAGGAAAATCGGTTAGTCGGTTATTAGCAAGAATAACCCCTATGACGTCATTACTAAAGGAAGGTGCCGCTGAAAGTGTAAGGTTTTCACACATGGCCCATAAATCTCCATTTATTTTATGACATACACATCGTTTATTTGACGAACATTCCAAGGTTTGCACTCGAATAAATGTTGTTACAATGGCAAGAAGACACAGTTCAATAATCACAAAGTTCATATTGCTACAAAAGATAAAAACAATACAGCTACAACTGCATCATCTACCCCCACAAAAAATACTTATATGTATAATAATAAACAAAAATATATGTTAATTGACACTAACTTAAGAGTTTCTATTTATGAAATATAATGATTAATATATCTGCAGGTATTATCTGCATGTATTATGTTTCTTTTTTATTTTCGTACTTATTTTTGTTTTTGATATTTGTTTTGATTTTTAGTATTGTTTTTTTTTTTTTGCTTTGTTTTTAAGTCGAAAATTCAATTTCCAATCTTTTCGATTTTTAATTAATCTTTTTATTTTCATTCTATTAAATCATGAAGCTATGTTTAAGTTATCATAAAACAATGTTATGGGGTTTTTCATGAAGAAAATACAACAAGATTTAAAAAGTCAAATAAATAAATACCTAATTATGACAATACGAGAGTTGTCCAAAAAGTTCGTGGACAATGACGTTTTTGTGAATATAAATGGTTCTATATAAATCTTTTGTATATCAAAATATTTCTTATGAAAAAAGAAATCAAAATAATTTAATTTTTATTGATAGAACGTAATATTTTTGTAAAAATCGGTATCTTTAAAGGTCGCGGATAGTGCACAAGGTTATAATGACATAACCTCTTATATAAAGTTTGTTAAAATGAATTTTTTATATAAGACAAAAAAATAAATTTTTATGTAACACAGATAAAGAATATAACAATATCTAAAGTATCGCTTAATAATAGACATTACAAATACTAAACAAAACCCCTAACAAATATGGGTCAAAACTTGACAAAAAAGCGACGCCGGCAGTCTGCACGGGGCAGCGTCCGATCAAAAAATTAGTTTTTATACGGTTGAAACAATGTAAAAGACAAAATATTTCTTAAAACAACTCACAATTATTGAAAAAATATTTAGTGTATCAAATTTAGAATTGGTATATACGATTTTTCAACGTGTGTACAAATTCGTGGAAACTATGTAAGTACAAGAATTTAAAAACACATGTGATTTACTGAAAATGGAGATTTCTTATCATGATGTTGCTATAAATCTATCCCAGCGTCGGACTGGGCAGTGGAGTTTGTGTATACAAAATGTTTATTTAGATGACGCTCGTAAATTTTTGTGCATTGTTTTGAATTTTAAAAATTAAATAAATTATAATCAGTACTTAAAGATTAATGCAAGCACTTGGAAGTGCGTTGCGCTTTGAAAAATAAATGAAGTGTGTGTCCGTGAACATGTGTTAAGGCAAAATCCAAATGTTTGACCTGATAATGAAATTAGCTTAACATCAGACTGGTCCGTGCGCACAATCTGCAATCTTTAAAGACCCCGATTTTTACAAAAAAAAAATTAAGTTTCCAAAATAAGTATCAAACAATTCTGACTTGGTTTTTCATAAGAAATATTTTGATATGCAACAGATGCATATACAACCATTTATTTTGATAAAAACGTCATTGTCCATGAACTTTTTAGATAACCCTTGTAGTTATAGACAATTGGAAAAAAATATTAGGTTAACACACACAAAAAAAGCAATGTTATCAGTTTTACTACTGATCAATTAATTTTGCCGTAGAAAACATGAAACATGTTTTACTTGTGATTTATGTCAATAAATATGGTTTTATATGTTAATTTTAACTTTTTATAAACTTTAAGATATAAATCGATTTTGAAATAGTAAAAAGTATGAACGTTTGATTTCCTCCCGAATATTTTGGAGGATTTTTAGAGAAAGGAAAAAAATTCCTACGTAAATAAACATTTTTTTCTTCAACAACTATATTGTACAGTGTATATGAGCCAAAAGAAGGTAAAAGGAACATATAAAACAAGATTGTTTGTGTCCTAAGACCATACTTTTTTTACTCAATTCAAAACAGTCTTGTAACGTACTAAATACTTAAACGTATCATAAAAAAATATCTGTGAATAATTTTTTTCTTAAAACCATTTTTATAGATCTTAAAATTATTTTCTTATTTCAAAAAAGGAAGTTGAAAGAATTACCTTGTTTTCCATGTATGCATTTTCTAAATCTATTTCTGCACTGAAAATCGCTACATTTTAAATGTTTTAATATTTACAGAACAATTATCATGCGTGTGTGCAAATACTGCATCATGTCTTGTAATTCATTGAATTTTGTTCAATAATAAAAAAGTAAACAGAAAAAAGGAATTAAAAGACACTATCAATTTATTTAACCTTGAAAACAGACAACCTATGAAATTGAGCACCTTCGTTCAAAGTGGTAAAACCCGAGTAGTTTCCTCTCATTATATAAACTATTGAATGCATAATCACTAAGATTTTTTTGATATACTTAATGTTTTATTTTCCTTTGTAAAAAAAGAGAAATCTAAATTTCCTCGTTTTTTAATGGTATGGAAAATGATGCAACATTACATTAGAACTTGTTGTAAAAAATAAAAATAAAAATATGTTCTCCAAGCTATCTCAATATGGTTGAGAACATAGTATAAAGAAATCTTTTAAAAATATATATATAATATTATTGCATATATTTCAGCTTGTCTGTAAATATATACCGTTATCAAAGCTTTTGTTGTCATATTATTGTTTGATGCTTATATTGATGGTGTTATATGTATTTTGTTGATTTGAAATAATGGTTTATTTGATTGATTACTTTGTGTCTCAGTCAGTTGCGTAATCCAGAAATTTGTCCGGAATTTTTAAATCAAACCGTCTTTCACTCTGAACTTAAAATATCCACACATCTTTTTCGTATCAATGCCGAATACCAGCAGACGGTTAAAAAATCCAGAGCTATTTTTTTAAATAATGGTTAAGTAAAGGACAAAGTGTAAGTAAGTTCAAATAATCAATGATTTTAACGTTTCAGAATATCTTTGAAACCTATAACGCTTTGGATGACTTCATATTTTTTTAATTTTCGGGGATTATTTGGTGACAAAGTGCAGCATGCTCTAATGCATGTGTCGGTACTAACATTATTCAGTTATACATTCATACCTATCTTGAAATAGCTTTAAACAAACTTAATAAGCATGTGGCTTATAATGACAAGATGGAGAGAGAGAATAAAAGACATTTCAGAGGAGAGGCCCAATCCCAGGTTTGATCCGGAGGAATCAATCTGCGACGGAAATAAGAAATAAGAATCGGGATGGAGACCTAAATTTCCAGCCAATCAACAGGTACAAATAACACCCTGTCATAGGACGCGGTACCAATAGATACATGTATAATTAACACTGGGCCATTATGTAAACAAGACGTTCAGATCAAAAATTGAAGTAAAATATGTACATTTGTTGCTATAACACTAAAATGTTAAAATATCTAAACTCAGCTAGTGAGCAATGATTCCACATTGGGTAATGGTCGCCAAATACCAAGTAAACCTAAGAATTCAAGAAAAGATAAAAATCAAAGTACTGAGACCCTACAGAGTCAAAATCAACTTCCAGGTAGATTTTCTTTTATGACATCAAGTTTGTAATTTAATTTGAAGTAGAAAATCAAAAGTCAAGAAACCTTTTTGAGTTGTCCAATTTTTACCAGGTCAAAATTAATACATTTCAGGATGTAAACAATGTGTCATATATATGTAATGCTAGAAGAGAGTTGTTTGTTTACTTTTGTGATTTACAATTAATTTATTTTAGTTTGAAGCTTTTCAAAATGCTTTATAAATTTGAGTTAAAATGTTTATTTCACTTTCGTCAGTTTGATCCAGAATTTTGTATTTTGATCAGAACAATTCCTTCACTCTTTTATTTAGCCTCCGTTTTGAAGCCTTTGCCGACAACAAACTATAGAGGTAAAAAACAACGTCTAAAAATCACAAGTACGAAATCGGAAACATGCATATATACCCCCTTACATAACACTTAAACATCATTTACTAAAATGCATGCAAACTGAACTTGCTGGGGACGATAGGTCATTCAGGTAGAAATTTTTATTATGATCAGTATCATTTAAAGTTGTGCTGTGGAATTCTGCAAATTTAGTTCAGCCGTATTACATAGAATTGGTGGGTCAATATTATTCATTTCTTTCAGCATTTATATTAAAATGAAAAACAAGGACAAAGTACTTGTTTAGTATCCCTAGGGCTGGAAAAGTGACACATTGCTTAAAGTTGTAAGGCTAGGATAGCTAGGGACAAGATATATATACTATAAACTATAGGGTTTGCTTTGTAAAACAATTGAAGGGTCAAAAGTTTAGATGAGAGAAATGGAAACATTTATCGTAAGAAAGCTCATTTTCTTTCCAAAGCCTATCAAGGTTAGAAGGATCAGGTAATCATTAGGCATAAAACATTTCAAGAGTTAGCCCCCATATTGTTGTCAGTTACGATCGGGAGAGGGGGATAGAGGGAGTGGGGGGGGGGGGGGCTGGTGGCTGAGTTGACATACGGTTCAAATCCAAAATTGATGACATTGCATTAGTTAGCATTCTGTACACTTGTCAAGATCTCTGTGGATTATTTTCGATTAGTAAGATAGTTTTGACGCACGTAAATTGATGTATTTTTAAATAAATGTTGATGTGTCAGTAGCATGATGGAGAACCCCAACCCAGCATGCTAGTTGCTGTTTCGGACAACACATAAGAAGATTTTGTATGGGGTGAGCCCTGTTGTCTGTCGGCCGTAAAGTTGATCTTGATTGTTGAAATACATATATCTGACCACTGTGGCCAACATATGTCATACAATAAACAATAACCTTTAAATGTGTTTTTAATTCTGAAAAAGATTCATAAGCAAAGCAATACACACATAGGGCTGATGTACGACCATGTATATAATGGATGTCAGAGTAGGATCTCACATAAGGCATTACTTTCTTTGATAATTGAATTTCTCTCTAAGAAGGAAGTAAACGAATTTTACCTTGATCGTCGGAATACGATATCTAAATCTTAACCTGCACTTAAGATCGCGTTGGTTTTAAACGCTTTTTCCGTTTTTAAAAAGGATAATCATCATGCGTATAGGTAATTACAGAGTCCAGTCTTGTAACCTATCGTCATTTCTTTTATTTGAAAAAGTGAACAAATGGGAATTCAAACAGCTATCACTTTGTTAAACCTAAAAATATCTTCTTAACAATGGTAAAACCCATGTGATTTACCGATATTTTTTTTCTTATCCTTAGTATTCTCTAATCAATCTTTTTATTCTAAACTTTTTAACTTTTCTGAACTATAATTTATAATGATCTTTGAAACTTTGTGTTAAGATCAGAATTTTTCAACATAAATTACATGGTTAAACATTGTAAAATAAATCAAATTACTTTAAATATCAGCGATCAGATAACAGACAATAAGTATTCCGTAATGTTAATTACAACAAACATGTAAAATCAAAGCCCAGATTAGTATGTTTCGCTCTAAAGCCTATGAACGAGCTCAAAAATGAAATGAATTTTTACGTCGATGTTATTTTGCGAATCTTGATCAAAATGCCGTTGATTATTTTTCACGTTTCAAAATTTTGCGAATAACCACGACTTTGCTTCCATTTTCTTATTGTTTATTTATTTATAAGAAAAATACTTTTGCGAATGCAATGAACTTGCAAATTTGCTAAAAATTTATCTTCAGTAAAAATTTCCAGATTTACTGTAAATCTAAATTTCAAAAATTATGAAATTATAAAAAGCACGACTCTAAATCCGTTCGAATTATATTATCGGGTATATGATCCACCAAATTTCAAAAGAGGGGTTTAAATTTCTTTAATACATAAAAGTTTGGCTCTGTTCCTATATATATTGTTTAATTTTTGGAAAATAGGCTTTACTATTTAATCATTACCTTTCAGGAAACTTTTTTGTTTTAATCATTAAATCTCAAATAAAGTTGTTTTACATTGGCACAAAAATTGAATAGTGATATATCTGAATACTTTTCCTTACTGAAACTTTTTTATAATTATTTTCAAGATTTGCATAATCTGCAACTATACTGTTCAAACAAATAAATATTTTTGAATATATTTAACATATGCTAAATAAACATAGAAATATCATCAGTCTTTCCTGAAGTTCCTTTTTTGAAAATTAGGACATCAATTGAATAACGTGTCATTATTATCCAAGCCAAATAATATATATATATATATATATATATTTGCACAGAGCAGATTAATTTGATATGAATTATAAAAGTAGTTGTTGAGTGTTGGCTATTTAGGACCTTATCAGTGGTCACAGATACATGATATGATGTTCATTTTAGATGATATATGATTATCTCGTCAACTTATATTTTGTGTCTCCTGTAAGCTACATGTATGATTTGTTGAGAATTAAATGAAGATTTGCACTTTGGGATTTCTATGAATGGTATTCTAATATTTCAGAATTCGTTTTTTGTTCAGTCCTATACATGCAAGGGTTAAATTTAGAATCCACTACTTTAGAGTTACGTAACAGTTGTTCTGTTAGTTTTTTGAGGATGAGTTTTTATCGGTTTTTGTTGATCGTTTCTTTGATAGTAGGTTCAATGTCTGAAAAAGAAAAAAACACGCCTTGATAAGTGCGTCCTGAAGTGGAGATACTACTTAACTGTCAAAACACTCTATAACTACTTAACTACTTGCATAATTCAAATTTATCTGCAGAAACATATCTATTATAAGTGAGGTTTAAAGTGTTGGGTCTTAATATATTTCTCACAACTTTGGTTGATGTCTCTTATTTTCACTCAGAGTTAGAAATAATGTGTTTTGTTTTAAATCAAATTTTATTTAGTGCAGGCAACGAAAAACAAGAAACTTAAAAAAGTTATAAAACACTGGTGCCTCATTGTGTTTGACTTTAAAATAAAAATATCCCGAAAAACGGACGTTATATTTGTATTCTTGACATTTTGTTGTATCTATGTTTTGTTCCTCATAAATGTGTCTTTGTTTTTTAAACAGAAAAAATGGATTCTAAAATTACATATTTAAATAGATCTTTTTGTTGTTTTTTTTTTTGTTCTTCGTCCGATTGCATAATTCTTTTTATGACCATTTATTCTTCTCTGAGAATTGATGCCTCTCTGGGACTTAAATTTACATTATCACTTGCCTTAAATAGATTAAAGCAATAGAGCTATTTGAACGTTAAAAAGCAAAATGTGAACGAATACATTGTATAATGACTTCACAAAAGTACTCTGAACAGGTTATGTAAAAGATTAATGGAATTCTTGATTGTAAAGGACAGAAGATACAAACGTTTTTTTTCTTTGTATGAAACTTAAAATCATCTCTCAGGTTAAGACAAGTGAATGTTTCTTTGATTATTTTCTCCTTAGACATGGAAAATGAAATAAACTTCGAAATATTATTCAATACTTTAGTAAAATAACAATTATTGTCAAATCACATTCAGTAAAGGTTTACAGATGAAAGCGATTTCACTTAGATCAGCTGTTTGTCACGTAACACGATTATGATTAGGAAAAAAGTGTAGGACTACAAAGATCGTAAAAGTTCAACGATGTACGAATAATTGTTTACGATGAAATTTTGTTTCGTTTATAGAACAAATTCTTTAACCTGAAAAGTGCCAGGAGCAACTTCCTCATGCCCGGGAATAATGAAATATTTAGCCGTCTCTTTGATAAACTTCGTACATTAGGATAATACTCATTGAAATAATGTAAAATGTTGGAAAAAATCAAAAGAACTTGCTCTCAGAACTTGCTCTCAAAAAAAAAAAAAATCAAAATTGTAGGGACAATAGCTACAAGTGTATAAAAAATCATAATTTATAGTTAAGCAGATAACGTCGAACTTTTGAGGTTTTCGAGGGGTTGTGCCTGTGATTTTAGTACATTGATGTATAAATGTACATTATTACGGCTTTATATAAACCTAATAGCTTTTTAATTTTATAGGACTGGAAAATATTGATTAATGCATTCAGGAATATGACACACTTTTAGTCAGATCACGCCTATTTAGTTTCAATTTTCACATCTACAAGCTTCATTGATAGCTTTAACTACGTCTCAGGTACAGAGAAACTGCGTGTCAAGCTAGTATATGACATCATCGCAGTCAGTACAGCGAGATAAAGGTGTTAAAACGACAAAATAAGTGATACATTGATTTATTTTTACAATATTTATGAGAAATGACTGCATGTAAAAGTGTTTGAAAAAGAAAATAAGTATTTATTCGCCGATATTCATGTGAATAATTTTATCGTGACGTCATAATCGATTTCTCGAATTTCTGCATAAGCTCAGGTACTCAAGTGAGACCTTAGCCTAACTGCGTTAAAAATTACTTTAATTAGTTTAAAATATGAATAAATTATGCCTCTGATTCATTAATGCATCATACAACATGATTAATCACCTTAAAACTCATTTTTCTAATTAATAAAAAAAAAATCTGTCAGAGTATAAATATTAGATACGCGGATCAAGAAGTAAACAAAAATTCACCCATAACGCATTGCGCCGCCATGAAATAGAAAAATAGACTGCCTGCAGCTTATAAGACGTGTTTGCACAATACAGTTAAAAAAACAGTGAAAAAAAGATGTGTTTGTAAAACACTATGCGCCCGGCGGCAAAAAGGGTTCGAAAAAAATAATTTTAGCATATAGGTCACAGTCAAGGTCATAAGGTTATTGACCTTGGTGTCGTTTGAAAGAACTCAATTAGTGAGGTATGCATAAAAAATATGAAGTCTCTATCTTCTATGGTGCAAAAGTCATGATGAAAGTTCAAAAAAGTTTTTATTAAGCATATATGTCACAGTCAAGGACACAAGGTCATTTGAAAGAAATTTATTAGCAGAGTTTGCATATCAAATATGAAGTGTCCACCTCTCATGGTTCAAAAGTCATGGCGAAGATTAAGGTTGACAACAGACAGACAGACAAGTAGACAAACATATAAACAGACAAACAGATAAGAAGACAGGATAAAAACAATATACACCCTGGATCAATCGATTTTGGCGCATAAATACATAATTGAATTAAAACATCTAGTTGAACATTATCTTTTTTCAACATTTATGCAATTAATTCAACAAGGACATCGTTAAATACGAACGGATATGCATGCATTACATATACTCGTTCTACTTTCACTTTGCATTGGGTGTCATGAGAAGTTGTGAATCCAGTTCTAGAACATCATATATAAAAAAAAATGTACTGTATATACGATCAAAGTATGAATCATTTATAGTGTTAAATGAATATGCTGAGATTTGTAATTTAAATAAAGATAAAGTATGAAAACATGAAAGTATCAAACTTTACAATAATAAAAAGCAGGAAAGACTACACATTTCCTATCTCTGAACTGATCTCTCAGTAAAAAAGGCCTGACTGATATACGTCTGATAATTTTTTTATAGCTAAAATAAGCTGACACCAAACATGTACAAGCCAGTGTTTAACTGGAGACACGTCTTACCACTGTTACCCATTAAATACAAAGAAAGGTATGTTTTGTTGTAGAATTATTTTTTTCTAAAATGTATTTTCTTTACATTCAGTGGGGGTTATCTTTCCTTTCGATGTCTGTTCTGATTGAAATTTCCCCGTAGCCGGTGGAAATAAACCCGTCCAATATACTAATTTTCAGACAAATTGATTTATTTATGTACGAAGAGGAAAAGGGTCTTGAATTTGTAATTTGAATTCTTTTAAAGATGGTAATCGTAACCACTAATAATAATAATAATAAAAAAAATAAATCACGACTTGACTTTTACACTAGGCAATTCCCCTTTCTAACAAAAAATCTTTATATTTCTTTTAAAAGCAAATTTATTTTCATTATATAAAACATGTTTGATTTTTGTTGGTAACTAGTTACGTTCTTTTATTCCATTACAATAACATGATTTAGATATTTTATGCTTAATTAACGGTGAATCAAAACCATCAGAAAACCAGAAGCATGAAAGATTACACATTTCCTATCGTGGAACTGATCTCTCAGTTAAGAAGGCCTGACTGATATATGTTTGATAATCTGTTTTTTTATAGCGAATTCGAAAATAAGCTGACACCAAACATCTACAAGCCAGTGTTTAACTTGAGACACGTCTTACCACTGTTACCCATTGAATACAAAGAAAGGTATGTTTAGTTGTAGAATATTTTTTTAAGTATTTTTTTTTCATTTAAAGTGAGTGTTTGGTGTTTACTTTTATCATTTTTAAGTATAAATAAAAATGTGTAATTTTTGTTAACCAAAAAAATACTTTTTAACAGTTTGCTGAGAAATGGGATTTTATAAAAGGGAAATTTCGACTAAATTGAATGCATCTCATATATAAGAGGAGACAGACCTGAAATACAAAAATATATATTGGTCTCTATTTGATGGAACTCTTCAGAGAAGCTGGAAATATACAGAACATGGTTCTCCAAACTATTATGATTTTTTAAAAGAATATTCCGTGTCGTTCTATTTATTCTATGCAAGGGCTATTGGTTTGACATCGGAAAGATTTGAGAAATCAACCACTGTGTTGGTATTGATAATCTTAATACTGGGTTTCGTAGGAAATATTGTGACCATCTGCACAGTTTTATGCTTTAAAAAATATCATACTCCAACATTTGTTGCCATCGGGTGCCTTGCATTTTTCGATATGCTTAATATCATCTCGGCGACGTTAGATACATTTTCGACTTTGGTAACTTATCTTGAAATTCAACATCTTGTTTTTGATAGAGCTTTTGGGAGTATGATTGCTTATTTTCTATGCGATATACTTTTAAGCTGTTCATGTTCACAAATTGTTTTCCTCTATATGATCAGATATTTATTAACAGTTCATCCCTTACAGAGCAAGATAAGACTCACCCCCTCCATTGTTCTGGCATGCTCTGTGATGATTTTTATTTTTCTTTCACTGTTTTCAGCTTTCAGATTAATAATAATAACAACGGTTATTAAAGATTTACTTCATCTATATAAAATCATTCGTCTTATCTCCGGTATTATTTATACTCTTTTGGGGTTGCTTTCTATCTGTGCAATCATTATTATACATATCAAAAAGTTAAAGTCTTTAAAAAACTCTTCTGTTACAAACGGTATCCATAGAAAAATGAATGTTATTATTTCTATCATATTATTCGTTTTTATTTGCTTTCAAATCTCAGTTTTAATAAATAACTCTGCTTTTTTTGCTTATAAGCTTTATAATATTTCAGGGACCTTTTTACTATACACATACTATTTAGCATTACTCCTCGCATTTTTGAATTTCTCTATGAATCCTTATATACTCTTTTTTGCTTCACTGATCGTTTGATAGCAAAACGTAATCACAATCATAAAAGAAGTGAACTGTTGAAGGACTTACTTTCTTTGGATTGCTACCTTTTGCATTAACATTTGTTATATACTGATCTGTGTTACAATTTAGCAAGGAATTCAAAAGACTAATTTTACACCCTTGATATAGACACTTTACATATTTATATGCATGCCATTTAAAGTAATTTTAAAAATGTCATTATGGCTCTTTCTATTGCTTAACTGCAAATTATTACAATTTATTTGTTCGTGTCAAGAGTTGGCTCAATAAATAATGCTTTTGATTTATCTAAAAATGTGTTTTCCATGTGAATATACTGAAAAGAAAAGAGATTTTAACATTTTATTATGTAAATTTTGACAAATTTTGTAAAAGCAATACTCTTGAACATGTAGGAGGGTTGTCCCAGAAAAACACGAACATTTTCCATATTTTTTGTTTCACTAATACATGTATTATAAAGATAAAAATTGGTAAACAATATAATCAATATTTATTCAATAATTTACAGAAATTTCAATAAAATATCTCTATAAAAACATTTCTATATCTGATCATTCAGAATAGCAGTCAGCGCAACACGGATTATGTCAAATCTTCAGTCGTGGCTTTTTTTTTTCATTTTTTTCAGAAAACGTGCATTTTTCAAAATTGTTTGAAGCATATATTCGACACTGTATATGATTTTCATTTCGTTATCGAGTTATCCATTTTCAGCGTAGTGGGTGCGGTCAGCAGTAGTAGAAAAATGCATTTAAATATTTACAATCAAATGATTTAAATCCTTAGAATTAGCACATACCTGTATATACATTTCAAAATTTATTCTTTACGTAAACAATTTTCCACTCAAATCTAACCGTTCGCATAGTTAGCGGTGAGGCCTATGCTCGGCACTCAGGGCCTTTGAGCAGGGGGACTTTATGTGTCACACCCGTTGTGACACGGGGCCTCGATTTATACGGTCTCATCCGAAGGACCGCCCCATTTAGTCGCCTTTTTCGACAAGCAAGGGGTTCTGGGGGCCTATTCTAACCCGGATCCCTACGGGGCTCCCCTTATGATGTACAGCTTATAGACCTTTTGATTGTAAAACTAGTCCATCAAGGTTTAAACTTAGTTTTAAACAACTTTAAACTATAGTTTTTAAATTCTTGGAATAACTTTCACCAAATCACAGTTACCAAGACTTTAGCTCTCCCTAAGCTTATACACTTTTTTCTGCCCTGTTTGACCCCCCAAAAGATCTTTTCGAAGAAATGAACAGAATATTTTTTTTTTAAATTTTTTGGGGATACAAGCAGAAAAGCTAAAAGGAATACACTTATCGGAAGATATGAGGATGGTGGTTTAAAAAGCTACACTTACAATCTTTCATTTCATATATCAAGTTAAAATGGGTAAAAAAGTATCTGACCGAAAGTGAAGGTGCCTTGCAACATTTGCTAAAATGTATTTACAAACTTGACAGTGTTGATTTATTTTTTATTTATGAACAAATGAAAGCGAAACTTCAAGAAATTTTTTAAAACTATTGATAATAGTTTTTGGAAAGATGTTTTTAAAGCTCTGATAAAGGTTAAGAGAAGTCCTGAACATGTATTAGATTACCTGTACTTAGATATAAGAAATTTTTTGGAGTTAAAAAGTGGGAATTTTATACAAAATGGGTTGAAAAAGGTGTTAAGAACTTGAATGATATAGTGTCAGAAAACGAAAAAATCAAATGTTTTAATGAAGTAAAAAATGTACTTGAAAATAACAATTTCTTAACCTATAATCATCTGATTTCAAAAAACCCCAAAAATTAAAAAGGGAGCTCATTCTGTTTAGAAAAAAAAGAATTTTAAAATATTGAACCGGAAATATGTCTTGTACAAAAATTGTTATCAACAAATAAAGTAAAATTTTTGTATATATTTGAAAGAAAAAGGAGTTTATAGCCCCAACTTCAAAAAAAGAAAAGTGGGAAACTTTATTAGATGTGTCAATCTCAGAAAAAGAATAGAAATTTTATTTTGTGAATTCATCATTATGCACAAAAGATACAAAATTAATTTATTTTCAATATCGATTACTAATGAATTATATTGCTACCAACTCCTTTCTTCATAAAGTCAAGCAGTCAGAAAATAGTGTATGTACATTCTGTAATATTGAAACTGAGACAATTATTCACTTATTTTATGATTGTATATATGTGATTAATTTTAATAAAATTTGGAAATGGGTTTTAAAGTCATTGAAAAAGATAATAAAATATCCAAATGAACTGTTTTACTTGGAAATGTAGAAGGAAGTTGCTTGGAAAATTTTATATTAGTTGCAAAAAAATTTACATGTATTTACTATTCAAGATCACAAGACAAAAAGCCGTTATTTATTGATGCATTAAGATTATTTAAGTATTACAGAAACATAGAAAAATATTGTGAAAAAGTTTTTCAATATAAGGACAACATGCTCAGTAAATGGGAGTGTGAGTGTGTGTGATTGTGGTGGTGAGTGGGTGGATATTCTATGTTATGATATGTATTTATGTAAATGGAAAAAAACTTAAAATAAAAATAAAAAAAGCTTTGAAACACTTTTACTATGTATAAACCAGCTTCTGAAACATCTATTTGTGTCGTTCCCTTGACCCCCGCTCTTTTCCTATATGAACAGGGGTATTCCCGCTCCACACAACACTGAGTGAAATTTGGTGGTCCAATAGGGCCCACGTCGCATTTTTGACAATTTATAACTTATAGTTTTTTGTTGATTTTAACGTAATATTTTTCTCATTTATAATGCCAGGGATTATTTTTTTTCAAAAGAACTGAAACATTATATTTTAGTATACACGAATAATAAAAAAAAAGAAATCATCGCTATCAATGCACATTTTGAAAGTCACCTGCGCCGACCAGTGATATTCAACACCCTTTAAATGTTGTTCCTTAACGCTATTAAGTTACAACCTTATGTTATTTTTCCAAACGACAAAATAATTTTGGTTCGGTTATTTATGAAATATTGAAAAAGCTCGCGTTTTTTTGGGACAACCCTCGTATAATGAGATTTTAAAAAAATCTATATTGCACACGGATTTAAATAAACGTAAACTAGAAAATAGTAACAATTACATTGTAGAAGAAACAACGTAATGAAAAAAAAATAGTAAAAAAAATGCCAAAAGAAGAACGTAGCTTCCATATCTTTATACAAGATGAATAATGTTCTCGTGTTGTGCAATTTTATTTGGTTAAATCGAGGTATTTGATAAAATAAAATTTTCTTTTCTCTTTTCTTTCACTAATTGAAAGCAAATCAAATTATAAAGGACGTTATTAATAGATATTTAATTAATACAATAAAAAGGTTATAAGAGATCACACTTTATAAACTGCGAAACCAACCTTCAAAATACAGCAATGTGAAAATTGTACATTTAAGATTCGGAAGTAATAAAAAAATAATGGGGAAAAATAGTTTTAATTCTATATTTTGACAAAGGATTCTGCAAAAGTCAATGGAACTAGAAAAAAACCTGTATTCAATGAGATGGTAGACCTGGGAATAAAAACTGCCTACGCGTGTTAAAGCAATGAAACACACATTCTAAAATTTGCCTTACTTTTAATTTAATCCTACCGGCAAGTATAATCTGGTCGCATTGAAAATAGAAAATGCCATAACTCCGTCAAAATTCACTGAAGTGGAACTAAATTTAAACTTGATCTATCATCTAGGTAAAGTCACATAATAGAAATCAGCTCAATATTCGCAAGCCTCAAGGAAGAAAATGGGAGATCCCTTAAAAAAAAAAGAAAAGGTCTCAACGATCCCCCTCAAAAATCCTTGAAGCGGAAAGAAGGGCAAAGTTGATCTGTCACACAATATGATACGCTCACAAACCAAAATCAGCACAACATTTACAAGCGTGTAGAACATATGAATGGAGGAGGAACTAAGGAGAGAAGCTGACAGACAAAGAGACAGAGGTGGAAGAAACCTAAAGTCCCCTGCGGTTTCACGGTAGTAGTAAGGGTACGGAAGAGTGCAATCTGTTATGTTTTTGATATTAGGTCAGGTAAGTAATTGTAAAGAAACTTAGATCAACAGAAATATGCATTAAAAAATAGTAATATGTCCATAGGATTTGAATGATCCACCAAGGGTTTGATAAGTAATGCATCATAAAAAATACACGATAAGGAACAAATCAATTTCTAAGACAGTGCGATGTCTGAAACATTGAAAATTAAACGCTGAGACTGGTTCGTTGTCATCCGTCCCTTAAACTGTCTTGAAAAACAAACAAGAATTTATACATAATGCATAAACTTTGATTTTTTTTTGCCAATTCCAAGAATAAATTTAAATTTGGGAAACTGGTAAAATATTCAGTATTTGAAGATTGATGATAATCCTGATGACTTTAACTTTTCTATCTTTAACTTTCCTTACTTATGCAGCAATATACCGTCATCACCTGCATATGGATTAAATGTATCCCAGTGGACTCGATACGCCAGAGTATGCTCTACGTATGAACTATTTCGTAAACAAGGTAATTTATTGACAACCAAGTTAAGGAAACAGGATATCAGCAGCCTCATTTAAAGTAATCATCTCGTAAGTTCTATCGATACAATGACAATGTCAGCATATATAATTTATCATTGACTCAAATGCTTAGTGACGGTTTTCATACTAATCGCTAGCCCATTATTTATATACT